GTGTGTGTGTGTGTGTGTGTGTGTGTGTGTGTGTGTGTGTGAGTGAGTGTGTGTGCGTGCGTGTGTGTGCGTGCGTGCCTGTGTCTGTGAGTGTGTACGTGCGTGCTTGTGTGTGAGTGTGTACGTGCATGCTTGTGTGTGTGTGTGAGTGTGTGCGTGCGTGCGTGCGTGCATGTGTGTGTGCGCGTGTGAGAGAGAGTGTATAAGGTTAGGATCTATGTGAATGTAAGCTCTGTTGAGGTTTTTAATAAAGGGCTCTGCACACATACACATATGCTGACACTGGATTTATCGTCTGCATTTGCAAACTCACTTGTGGCAAGAGCACAGAAGTATTCATTAAGACCCGCTCTGCAGTGGGACACACACACACTCAAGCTGTGAATGTGTTTAATGCAGTCCAGTCGTCCTTCTCCTACACATTTCTACACTTGCATGCGCACCGATTATATCTCTATCCACACACTCACTGATTGATTTATGTGTTTTGTGTGCATGTGGTCAGAATGTAGCTTAATTTATGCATTTCCCTCTTGCAATGTTACAAAGTGTCATGAAAACAACACTGTGAATGTTTTTGGTGCATGAAAGCACTACCATTTATGCATTATTATTATTAATATAACAAATGTTTGTATTATACTACTAATTTATTTGTTTGCACGATGCCTCTCTTGTCTCTCTGACAGACTCACACCATCTTCTCTCTGCTGGGTTTGGATCACGCTTACGTCACCAGCATCGGGAGACTTATAGGAGTAGTTTCACTGAGAGAGGTGAGAGATTTCTGTGACGCGCAGCTGTATTTTCAGCATCATTCCTCCAGTCTTCAGTGTCACATGATCTTCAGAAATCAGTATAATATGCTTTTTTTTATTTTTTATAAGAAAAGTCTGAATTGTGAGAAAAATTCACAATTTCTGATTATCATCAATGTTGAAAACAGTTGTGCTGCCCAATACTTTCATGGTTTTTGTGATGCATTTTATTTTTCAGGATTCACAGATGAATAGAAAGTTCAAAAGAGCAACATTTATTTGCAATAGAAATCTTTTGTAACATTATAAATGTCTCTTCTGATCAGTTGAATGTCTGTTAATTGTTTTAATCGTCTGCTGCAGCTGCGTAAAGCCATCGAGGGCTCGATGACGGTGAAGGGCGTGAAGGTTCGTCCGCCGCTGGCGAGTTTCAGAGACAGTGGCACCAGCGGCACCAGCAGCGAAAGCGAAGCCACTGAACTCCACAAACTGTGGGATCGTCACACCAGCCTCAGCATTCCCCGAGAACACCAGCCCAACGCCTCCGACTCGGACGATAAGTCGCAGTGACCCGCGGCCGACGCTCACATCCAAAACCCCTCCGGTCTTCCCACACTTATCCTCTTTCCCTTCTGGAGAATCAGGGACTATCTGGACTCTGTCGAGGCTCCTCCAGTGTGCGTATGTGTGCGTTTATATGTGTGTCTGTTGCAGAAAGAGACAGATCATTTCATCTTTGACGTTACCTACCATTCCCTTTTTCACTTTTTAAGAAATGTTATGCACAAGCTCTGTTTGAACGCTTCATCTGGTGTCTCGTGGTTTTTACATTGGGGAATTTATATCTCACTGTTTTTTTTCTTGCAGTTCTTTTTTTCTCGCACTTATGAGTTTGTCTTTTTTCTTGCTATTCTGAACAATTCTCGCAATAATGCATTTTTTCTCGTGATGGACTTTTTCTAGCTCTTTTGACTTTTCTCGCTAGTCTTTATCTCATAATTATCTTTTTTTTTTCTCTCGCAATTTACTTTTCTCTTAGTTACAACTATTCTTGCAATTATAACTTTTTCTCACAATTATGACTTCTCGCAATTAGGATTTTCTCACAATTTAATTTTTTCACAATTGACTTTTCTCACAGTTGACTTTTTTCGGAATTAGACTTTTCTTTTTGCATGCATGACTTTTTTTCTCCCAATTGTGACTTTTTCGCAAGTATGAATTTCCTTCTCGCAATTATGACTCTTCTCACAATTTTTTT